CCTTGCCTGTCCTGGGAGCGTGAGTATGCGACTGTGAATGTGACCCTCCCCCCCTCTTTTGAGGTTAGCTATCAGTATAATAAACGTGCTGCTTTCTGCCAAACTCTGGTGGGTCATTAGTCCTCCCTAAGCTTACTAGCTGGCCCAATTTCAGGTAACATTTGTGACCTCTAATGTTTTTTAATTTGAATGTCCCTTTAGATTTTACAGTTATATAACTACTGAACCAAATTCTGCTCACACTGATGCTGACATGAAACCAGAATAACTCTGATGAAGGCCACTGCAGACATACACCAGTGGATGTAAGCGAAGGTTTTGGACCCCTGTTTAATGAAAATATAGGAAAATAATAAAGGCCTGATCCAAAGGCAGTCTATGGGAGTCTTTCCATTGACCAAGGATCAAGCTCTAAGACATTTTATCCCTGCTCTTCCGCAGTGGTGCAGCCAGGGCAAAGCAGGGTAGCCAACCACGAATGGATCACCCTGGTATAGAAAGATTCTTTAGTAGCAGAGCCACTATGGCAACCAGTGTAAATTAGCATAAACCTCAGGCTGTTCTCTAATTTATGCCAGCGCACTGGATTGGTACAGAACTGGCATATGATCAAAGGAGCAAAAAGATGGCTTTAAGCAACCTTTGCACAGCACCCTGAGTTTCACTGTGCACTCCTTGGCATGGAAGCGTTTGAATTGAATTGTCATAAGTAAATATAACTTCGGAATGTTTGTGCTTCAATATTTACACAGCACTTGTATTTTTAAATCTATTGGCATCCCCTTTGAAAGGAGTCTTCACTGGCCACAAAGTGATCTTTAAATGGAACATTTTTCTAGTGAAAAGGTCAATTTGGTATTAAGGACGTATTTCCATTTTGAGTCAAGACACGATGGCACTAACCAAATGTAGCCATGAAGGGATGTGTGTCTGCTGGGCCTAGAAGATTAAACCTTTTATTTATTATTATTATTATTATTTTTGGTGAGTGGGATTCTTATCTGAACTAACCAAAACCTTACAAATTATTTGGATTTGGGAATTTTGTTTCTCCTAAACTGTTTTGCCTATTTCCAGGGCTGAATTCTCCTACTAGTCCAGAGGTGGGCAAACTATGGCCCGCAGGCCATATCCGGCCCACGGGACTGTCCTGCACGGCCCTTGAGCTCCCGGCCGGGGAGGCTAGCCCCCAGCCCCTCCCCCCACTGTCCCCCGCAGCCTCAGCTCGCTGTGCTGCCAGCGCTCTGGGCGGCAGGGCTGCGAGCTCCTGCTGGGCAGTGTGGCTGCGAGAGCTGCCAGCCTGCCCCGGTGCTCTAGACTGCGCGGCGGCGTGGCTGGCTCCAGCTGGGTGGCGCGGCTGCCAGTCCTGGTGCTCTGAGCGGCATGGTAAAGGGGTAGGGAGTGGGGGGTTGGATAAGGGGCAAGTGGTCCCGGGGGGCAGTTGGGACAGGGAGCAGGGGGCGGTTGGATTGGCGTGGGAGTCCCAGGGGGCCTGTCAGGGGGCGGGGGTGTGGATAGGCGTCGGGACAGGGAGCAGGGGGGTTGAATAGGGGGTGGGGTCTCAGAGGGGTGGTTAGGGGCAGGGAGTCCCAGGAGGGGGCGGTCAGGGGAAAAGGAGTAGGGGGGGTTGGATGGGTCGGAGGTTCTGAGGGGGGCAGTTAGGGGGCGGGAAGTGGGAGGAGATGGATACGGGGCGGGGGCCAAGCTGTTTGCGGAGTCACAGCATTCCCTATCCAGCCCTCCATACAGTTTCGGAACCCTGATGTGGCCGTCAGGCCAAAAAGTTTGCCCATCCCTGTACTAGTCCATAGAGCTGGATCTCTATTGAATATTTTGCCTCTGTTCCACAGAAATGAATGGGACTTCCATTGCAGAATGAGTGTAGAATATACAATGAAGCTCTGTGCTGTGGCTTACGGGTCTGCTGTGTGGATTGGAAAGGAGAATTTTTATTGAATCAGCAGGTTTTTTGTGGGGGAGGGGCAGGGCCGGCTCTGGCTTTTTTGCCGCCCCAGGCAAAAAAGCCTCCGGCCGGAGCCCCGGGGGGAGGGCGGCGAGCCCCAGCGGGGGCTCCGCTCTCCCCCCGGCGGCCGGGGGGAGGGCGCCGGAGGGGAGGGCGGCCAGAGCCCTGGGAGGAGGGCGGCGAGCCCTGGCGGGGGCTCGGCTCTCCCCCTGATGGCCAGAGCGCCGGGGGC